CAAGCGGTTTTTTTTTTTTTTGTTGGAAAGATCCTGAAATTAATGTGAGAAAGTGCACCAGCATAAACCAAGCTGAAATTGACAATTGCTTGTTCCACCATCTTAAATTAGCAAGATTTGCTTTACATCATCAACCACCTTAATTCCCAGCACACTTGACATCAAACATTTTGGACCAGATATTATTTATCAATATTAGAGCTTGTTTGGTACAGATTTTAAACCAATTAAAATCAATTTACCGTTATTTCACTATTACGGTCGTCATTTTTTAATTCTTTTCTCACAGGTAAGACCCATTTTATCTCCAACGATCAAAAAATCAATTATAAAAATCTCTATCAAAAATTAATGTGAGAAAGTGCACCAGCATAAACCAAGCTGAAATTGACAATTGCTTGTTCCACCATCTTAAATTAGCAAGATTTGCTTTACATCATCAACCACCTTAATTCCCAGCACACTTGACATCAAACATTTTGGACCAGATATTATTTATCAATATTAGAGCTTGTTTGGTACAGATTTTAAACCAATTAAAATCAATTTACTGTTATTTCACTATTATGGTCGTCATTTTTTAATTCTTTTCTCACAGGTAAGACCCATTTTATCTCCAACGGTCAAAAAATCAATTATAAAAATCTCTATCAAACAAGCACTTAATAAAATTACAAGATCGTCAGCGTATATAAAAGCTTCTTAAGTATGCACCTAACAACATCTCAAATACTTTTACCTCATCAACATGTATCCTATTGGTTGATAATGTTAACATAACAAATCCAATGAGAATCAACATTGTTTCTCTCAATTACTTTTACCTAATCCTCATGTACCCTATTATGTTGATAGTGTTGAAATAACAAATCCAGCGAGAAACTAGCCGAAGCAACAGACCTATGCTCCACATTAATGAGCTATCACAAAGAGATCATTACTGTCTTCTAGGTCATCATCATCCTCAAATTATCTAGGAGATCGTCCAACATGAAATATCAAGACAACTGGCCTTCAGCAAGAAATTTGATGGATCAAAACTATGTTCCAGCTAATAGTTTCGGATGAACTGAAAACGAAAAACTTCTAGGGAAGATTTTGGATTCATTTTTTGAAATACAACAGATACATCAAAAAAATTTGTAGCAAGATAGCTGATAGGGTCTAGTAGCAGGAAGAAGGAAAAATTGGTAGCAAGGAAACTTTTATTGATTGAAAAGAGACGGGTTACAGAAAATAAAACAAACTGTCCAGCCTTTCGAGAGGGCTAACTCTCCTAATTCTTACTTCACGTACTTAATTCCTGTCTATCACAATTGGTAGGTACTCTATATATAGAATTCTTTCTAACGACTTCTTTCCTAATATACCCTCTAACAGAATTTAGTCATGGCTCCTTCCCTTCTTCAGTCTTCTTGAGTCCTCTAGAATAGGTGTACTTAATTGGGGCTCTATCAATACCCCTCCCATTTCAGTCACCTTGTCCTCAAGGTGGAAAGTATACTTGATTGTTGCTGGCCAGCATCCTAAACCATTCAGCTCTTGCTTGCCTGAAACAGGTTCCTCCCTCTCACTATCGTCGGTCATGACTTTGCTGTCCGTCGCCTCTTCCAGCTCTCTCATTACAAGAACTTGCAACTCTTTATTTTTACACTTGTGCGCAGTTGTCAATTTCTCATCACAACGATAACATAAGCCTTTTTCTCTCTTTGTCTGCATTTTTGCATCTGTGAGTTGTTTGTAGTGGTTTGGACGAGTTGGGATAAGATTTAAGGGTACTGATTGCTTGTTAACTGGGTTGGGAAGCTGGGTTAGATTTGAGTTGAGAGAAGGAGGTGGATTTGGGTTGTGAAAGGGGATACTTTTGGGTTTAATTGGGTCATCCTGCCATGGGCTCTTTTGGGTTATTAGATTCCAGTCTTCAACCATATGGGCTATTTCCATTATTTGCTCTAAACCCATGAGTCGGAATAAGTTAACTTCAGCCCGTATGGTTAGGTTTAATCCATTCAAAAAATTGCACTCCAAAATCTCCTCAGAGACCTCCGTTAATGGTGATGCCAAGGTTTCAAACCGCCAGCGATATTCTCGAACGGTGGAGCTCTGCCAAAAGACAAAAACTGGGCACAAAGAGACCCTTCTTGTGATGGCCAAAATCATCGCAGCAACTGTACTTTCACCTCCTCCCAGTTTCTCATTAGCTGCCGTTTTTCTTCCCATTTGTACCAAGCTAGTGCCTCGCCATCGAAACAAACAGTAGCTACTTCCACTTTCTCTTCCTCAACCAGCCTATTAATGAGGAAATATCGCTCCACCCGAAAAATCCAACCATCTGGATCAGTCCCTTCGAACACCGACATCTCTAGCCGTCTGATTCGCGATTCTATCCTCCCTTCAGCCCATAAACCTCCTCCAATGTTTTGGTTAGGACTTGGTCGGATTTCAGTTAACCCAGAATTAGTAGAGATTGCCGGTGATTCTCCAGTAGCAGGGCCCTTTTCCTTTATCCCCTTTTCTTGATTTTCCCAAGTTCGCAACAACAATTCGAACTTGTCCATCATCCCTGAGTGCATCAATTGAAATTCCAAACGTAGTGCCTCAATCCCCATATGTAGTTCATGGTGATGGCTCTCCACTTTTTTTCTAACTCAGCAACTCGATCAGTAAGAGTCATGGTTGTGGCGGATGATTGGTGTGCTCTGATACCAGTTGATAGGGTCTAGCAACAGAAGAAGGAAAAATTGGAAGCAAGGAAACTTTTATTGATCGAAAAGAGACGGGTTACAGAAAATAAAGCAAACTGTCCAACCTTTCGAGAGGGCCGACTCTCCTAATTCTCACTTCACGTACTTAATTCCTGCCTATCACAATTGGTTGGTACTCTATATAGAATTCTTTCTAAAAACTTCTTTCCTAATATACCCTCTAACAGAGTTTAGTTATGGTTCCTTCCCTCCTTCAGTCTTCTTGAGTCCTCTACAATAGGTGTACTTAATTGGGGCTCTATCAATAGTATCTTTGAGATAATTCAATTTCAACTTGGTTTAGAGAAAGTTTACATAAAAACTAGATAACTTTGAATAATTCATAAGAAAATTGACTCAAAACGAGGCTCATCGAAAACTTCACATTTCAAAATTCCCTTCAATTTATTTCCACATTTTTCAAAATGGGACATTTTAGGCATTCCAATAGCAATGTTTAAGAAACAAAGAACCATCTGTACTACTAGTACCTATCAAGTAATATTACATTCCTTAACAAACCACAACAAAGCATGAAACCAAAAAGATTGCACTGACAGGAAATGTGAATTATGCGCAACTCCCTGTACTGATCAAACAAGAAAATATCAAACCACATAATAGGCTATCACTGTTGATAGAACAGAAGTATTACTATGCACATGGAGAACAAGTGTTTAGTTTTGTGTATCTGGATATGCACTAGACATTTACAACATACAAGCAACAGACAGCATTATCTACTATAAATTAATGGTCCACATGATTCCTTTTTACCAATCCATATGGTTGATTGATAAATATAATGTAATGTCCAAGGCAACTAAAATTCTTTAACAACCAGATTCGCCATGTTAACTTTCATCTACCCGTCCTTTTACTAAAATGTCATCACTCTTATAACTGGGAAGCCCTTTAGCATGTCCCGATCACCCAATTAATCCATCTATTGAATCATTCTCAACCAGTGCCACCTCTATACATATTGGCAAATATTCTCATTTGTTAGAATGGATCTTATCTTATCCACCATTCTAGCATGACCAATATCACCTTAGCATCCTCATTTCTGTTACTTTTGTCTTGTGGAGATTTTGTCCTTTAAAGCATAATTGATCTAATAATTATCTCCCCTAGCATCCTCATGTCCAAAAACCATCTTAAATATGTCCCATAAACTAATCCATGATTGAAGCAAAAAGTTAAGAAAAACTTGATGTGGAACCTTGATAATAGTGTATAGCAATGAGGAATCCTCTATACTATGCCCTTACATCTCTCTCTCTCTCTCTCGCGAAAATACTCCATGTACACATCTTCAACTACCTGCAGTTCATAAGAATGGCACCAAACAAAGATCGCTTGAGCCGGTAAATAAGGAATTATCCACGAATCCAGTGATGCAACATAAATAACAATTAGTAGATTTCAAAAGTAAATATACACTAGCAGTAGACCAACCATTGTCACATAATTATGAAGTTGAACATGAAAAACTCACCAAACCGACGCCAAAAGCGCGAGACAGCACCTGCACGGACCAGATCCGCCGGATCATCCAAACAAATCAAGATACTCAAGGACACATCTGCCGCGAGGCATTGCAAGAAGTCAATGCAAGACTCTATTTTCAGATGATCCATTCTGTCAGACTGAGAACTCGAAGTCTGGTAATCATTCAAACATCAAAACCCCCTTGATAAGTGAATGGGAAAAATTATAAATCTAATATTACTGAAAAAAAAAAAAAAGAAAAAAAAAAATCTATTGCCCCATATAATAGGTTTTAGTCTCATGCGTCCTTATAATGCTACTTATCGACTGGCTATTGTACATACAACCAAAGAGATTATTAACAAGAGTAAATATATATCACACCGTGGAAAATAAAAGGAAAACAGAAACCCCTGATCTAGAAAAGGTGAATTTTTATCCAAAATACTTTTTGTGTTTTTGTAAGAGAAGGATCGATATTTTACAAAATTTATTAAAAGGTGTGAAAAGAAACCTTTCGATTACTGAAGTCTGAAGTTTCAAATTTTCCCCTCTTAAAGTTTCCATCCTTTGCACAAAATTATTCAAGAGAGAGCAAGAAAACAAGAATAGTTCCAAAATTCAACAATAAAAATAACAGCCCAGGGCAAATGACACGATCATTCATGTAAAAACATCAAAAAGGAAAAAGGGGGAAGAATTTATACTTTCCCAGCAGGAAACCACTTCGTGTATCTTCGTGTGTACGGAGAGGAAAGGGGTGAATGTTCCTGTAGATGGGAATGGAGTGTTCTGGTCCAGGGAAAGTGGAAGTACTAGATATTAATACAGTATTTTTGGGTAAAAGCAACAGAAGTAATTTAGGTTCATAAATGTTTTCTCGTCTTTTCGTTCAATATTATCCACGTCCAAAACAGATTTTCTTGGATTAATTACAGGAATCAGGAAGTGGGTAAAGGATCTGAACGACTTGGCTCAGGTGGCGTGAGGGTTAGGATCGTTATAATTTTCCGTGTTCTGCTTTGATGCTTCGACCAAGGGCTAGTCGGGTAGAATTAAAATTAGAGAAAAACATTTCTTTTCTTTATTTTTGAACCACAGCTTTTAATTTTCCATATCGATGTTGGAGAGTCGATTGATCTGTATTTGTTTCCATTCTATATCGATGTTGGAGAGTTCATTAATTTACGTCAATTCTGATTGCTCAAGGAAAATCGATCAGAATCACAATTACAGATTTTCCTGCATATGTTCGTCTATGATAATTTCTTTGAATTTGAATGAACAAGAGCATCAAACATTGTACTAAAGAGGCAATTAAACACATGGCATTTTTTGAATTTCATTTCATATCATATTTATACGTACTCCACCTATGTAATAAAAACATAGATGGTTGCCTTGGAGACAATTCTTCTATTAACTCCGTCGTCGCTTCCATGGATAACATATCTTGTCCGTTTGACGGTCATCTCCCCATTTCTAAAAAATATGAAAGAAGGAAGCATTTCCATAATTCCATTATCGAGTAAATTCTTTTCTACTTAATCATTCTTTCTTTCATGAGCACGCATCTTTTTTTAAGGTAATGAGATCTTCTATCCACTTCTTTTGACAAAGATTTATACAAATGTGCAAAAGATGAAACTTTAAGGTGCAAGAAATAAGTTAAGAGTAGAAGACGGAAGAAAGAAAAGTGTTTTTCCTAAGTAATAACTTTAATGCCATTAGTTCGAACGTTAAATTATTTGATCAGTTAAAACAAAAGGAAAGTTTTCACAAATCATCGTCAAGTTGGAGCACAATAGAGGTTGTTGTGAGGAGATCTTTGTTCAATTAAAATTTCTTCCAGTGATCGGAAAATAATTAAATTATAATTTTATTTCCAACCCTCCAAATAGGCAGAAAGATCTATGTGCATCCCTAGTCATTAAATACATTTATAAATAAGCTTCACATAATAAATGTATGTTACAATTTTCAGAACCCAAGAACTTTCATAATTATTAAAACTGATGTGTACATCTTGATAGGTTTGACAAATTGGATTGAGTGGAAGTTGATGATATGTATAATTGAGAAGTTGATAAAAAAGCGTAAATCCTATAAAATGTGTGATTGAAAATTAATATGGAATAAAATAATTTTCAAAAAATTGAAGTGAAATATATGAATTAAATAATAATAAAAAAAGAAATTTATTTGTAGTTTTGTTAGTTAATTATATTGTATAGAGTGGTTTGCTTTTGATACTTCGATTTAAATACACAATTCACCAACCAAATATTGCCCCACTTTATTGCTAAGCAACATTTAAAACTGTGAGGTTTTTTTCGGTTACCACATGAAAATGTAAAATTCAAAATTTCCCTCAGCTAGCGAATTACTGACCAACAATTGCAGTCTAA